ACAGGGGTCTTGGAAAAATCTGTTTCTTGAATAACAGAGTCCAATATAACCCCCCCCCCTGCATTAAACCTAGTTCAGTTTCCAAGATTTTATCCAGATCCTGCTTTGATCTCGCCTTACAAATCTTCCTTCCAGTTTTCTTCTTCTCTCCTGCAGTCCTGACGTTCCTCCTCTGTTCTGATATCTGGTTTGCATTTCCATCTGTGTTTCTGTAAGATTTGTTTCCCTTTTCTTAAATGAAAATCTTCAGCATATCCCTTTGCAAGTTTTGTGCTCCATGTTAGATGTTTTCTAGAGTTCAGACAGCTTTCTAATACTGAACGATTTATACAATAAATGCATTACATTTCTATGTTTTCTTATGCAATAAATGTATTTAAATCATAGCCTCTAAGCTAATTAAAACTTAATAGGAGTAGACTCCTCATTTGACATTATTTACTACCTGAAGCTCAAACCTTTAATTATGGAATCTGTCGGTGAATAATTATCAAGGGTTTGACGTAATCTTCTCATGCTGTTGCAGTTATGATGCTATCATGAAGTAGCAGTCTGCTGATCCACTTGTTGATTACGCAAAAGGGAATTCTGCTGTCTAATAAGAACACAACTAAAGAACAAAGAGATAAAGAAGGAATTTAAAGTTTCAGCATTTTTCTGACAAAGCTACGTCAGGCAGGATGAACCACTGTCTGATGTTAACTAGGTCAGCTACCTTAGTATGAATGAGTCCTGAACCCCATTGAAATATTGCTTTTACATCCATTAATGCTCATTCACTTTTATTCATATTTTTGAATTTTCTGGATTTTCACTCCTGTTCACCGATATCTTCAATCGACTCTTTATCTGCTGCAATTTCGGTTGAATCTTTGTCTCTTGGCTTTAATTTCGGATGTTAAAGCAACACAGCATAATTTTGCCAATAGCTTTTAGAAAGGCTCAGGGGTAAAAATGAAACAAAAAAATTGAAAAAATGTCACCAGCGGCCACAAGAAAGAAAGAAAAGTGTGATTCCCTCTTCTAAGGAACCAAAAAGGCTGAGTAAAAAACCAATGATCCACAGAATGAATGATTTAATGCAGAAGAAAAATTCACAGAGGAACTTAAATTACCTTACAGGACTGATCTCAGCTTCATTTCTTCATATGACGTACTAACAGAGCGACGACAAAGAGGAGCCAATTGATAGATCAAACTCTTGCCGAAACCAGTCGGGAGAAGAGCAAAAACATCTTTTCCTCTGAGAAAAGCCTCCAGAGCAGTGTTTTGCTCTTCTTTCAGTGAAGAAATACTCTGTAATTCCGATAAAACTTGCTCGATAGCCACGCTAACGCTAGTTTCATCGGCTGAAGCCGCCATGTTCTTTAGACTGAACTGTCGCGCTTCTCGGTGCGTCACACCTCAACCTGCCTCAAAGCCAACGCTGATTGGACGTTCGTTTGGTGAACGGCTCCAAATTTTCTTTAACGGAGAGTCTCCAGACTGATTAGCGAGTGAAACCTTGAAAGCTCGCGAGATCAGGATGGTCTCACGAGGCTACTTAAGACCACGATTGTTGTGATGGGCTGAAAAAATAAAACCAAACCTAATATCTGTGTACTAGAGTTTATTTGCTGGTGAAGATTCTCAGTCATCCAGATCATAGTCATTCCAAAAAAATTAAAAAACAAACGACTGGACTTTGTTTTCCAAATTTGAAGACGTTTCACTTCCCATCCAGGAAGCTTTTTCTGTTCAAAAATGTCTGAAATGTCTGGAATTTATACTGAGAATAAAGAAATAAATAAATGCCATGGGTTCGAGTCGGATGGGCTTTCTGCATCCTGCTTTTCTCCTTCATCACTTTTCCATTCATTTTTTTCTTTCTTCTGCTTCCTCTCTTCACTGTCTATCATATATGCTCTCATTATTTTCTTCATCTGTCCCTCAGCAGCTGCAGTTTCCATGCACTTCTTCACCTGTCAACCTGTCAATCTATCTTTCTTCCTTCCTCTTATCTCACAATCTTCTCTTCCTTCTCATCGCTCACGTTTGCCAGACAAACTAGAAATGCCTCCACTTTTGTGTTTTATTTTCTTCTGCATCAAGATTTTGGACAATTAACCCATTAATTAGGCTAATTAGACAATTAGCTAATTGGGCTAATTAGACAATTAGCTAATTTGGCTAATTAGAAAATTAGCTAATTGGGCTAATTAGAAAATTAGCCCAATTATCTCATTTACTATTGCAAGAAGTCTACAGCGATATAAAGCCATAAATGATCCCATCTATGCACTTCCAACAGGCAGGAATATTTAGAAATCTTGTTTTATTTTTATATGTTGTATTAAATATAGGGCTACAATTAATGATTATTTTGCTAATTGATTAATCTGTAGATCATTTTTTCAATTAATTGATAAATAATCAGAAAAAGGTTCCTTAGAGAAGAATTTATTTACAGAATTAAAGCAGGTGAAACTAAAACTTTTCCACTTGTGAGTTCTGGATAGAGCATGATGATAGAGGCAGAAGGTTTTTTTAATCTTAAATGCAAAATATTTATATATATTTTGGGGGTTTTGGTATTATTACTGCTCTAAGAGGGTCGCTCTGTCAGCTAAATTCATGTTTTAGAGTCTCTATACTCCAGTTAATGATTAATCCATTTCTAAATTAATGGATGATCATTTCAATAATCGATTAATCCGATAAATCGGGTTAATTGTTTCAGCCCCAGTTAAATATGTATGTCTTAAATATATAGGTAAATTATCGATTAATATGAAGGTCATAAGGGGCTTTTGATAAGGTTGTACAGTGTGGGGGCAGTTGTCCCCCAGTAGATCTGCATAATTTACAGACAAACCAGCCTATAAATGAGGACGCCTTTGTCGTGACATAATCTGATGCTTTGTGAAACGTGAGACAGACAACAATGTTAGATAAGCTTATCAGGGAGAAAATTCCACTCATTTTAATCTGTGAAAGCATCCTGGAAGGATGTTTTAGGTCTGGATTAGGCACTGTTTTTTTTTTTCACTGACACACTTAAATTGCCCTGAAAAAAAATAAATTCTATTGTGTTCTATTCTGTGAATTGGAGCCCAGGCGGACTGCAATGCAAAAGGTCCCAAGGGTCCATTACACAAATTAATACATATGCACAGATATAGAGACTTAAAAAAACTGATGTAGCATTTTTATTTTTTGTCTTTTCTACCTGTTTTTTTTTTCCACTGATCTCTATTTATTCACTGGGTTGCTGATAGCCCTGAAAAAAGTGAAGCCACCGTCCGCCATGCTGGTACTCCCCACTCCACGGAGAATTGCAGTAAAAATGCATAGCTGTGTAGCATTTAGCTGAAAAAACAAGCAGTTTGCCAGCTGTGGGAAGTCGTTTCACAGGTTATTTCACAGTCAGTGGATGTACTAACTAAGAAAATCCAAATATACGCAAATGTATCCTGTAGAATAGTATGTAGTGTAACATAGTGTGCCTATCTCGGACTGACTCGAAGATATTGAATAAAGTAGCCATTTGCATTGTGTCTAACATGAGAAAGTAGATAGAGCAGAGATGGCAAAAGTACTCACATTCCGTACTTGAGTAAAAGTACAGATACTTGTGTTAAAAAATACTCTGGTAAAAGTGGAAGTACTGATTAAACTTCTTTACTCAAGTAAAAGTAACAAAGTACAGGCTTGTAAATTTACTTAAAGTATAAAAGTAAAAGTAGAAACCACTTTTTTCATGCCGTTGCCTACATTTTAAATGGATGTCTGCCAATAGGACTAGATCTCCGTTGTGTTCATTTTCAATCATCTCGTCGTTCAT